AGAGCAGGTTTATTTTACACCTCTTAAAAAAAGGTTGCCTTCTCAGGAAAGCCTACACACACTCCACACACACACACATCACCGTCGTGTGTGTGTGTGTGTGTGTGTGTGTGTGTGTGTGTGTGTGTGTGTGTGTGTGTGTGTTTTGAGGGTGGCTATTTGTGTTAACCCACTTCTGCTGTGTGTGTCACAGGACAAAGACATAGAAGGAGAGGAAGAGGAGGAGGAAGCGGTCACTGCAGTCTCCAAGGTAAACAACTCCCCAGCTATTTGGACATCACACACAAACACTTTGGATTCCAAATTAAACTCACCAATCAAACATATACACTTGCCCAACATGCTCTTCTCACAAAATGCCATCACCATATTGCAATTTTGATATCACACTTTGATTGTGTAACCCTTCAATAATTGGTCTTGTGTAACCAGAATATCCATATCTTTGAATGTCTCAAAGCAGCTAATGCACAGGCAGTGTCTTATTGTCAGATAAGTGTTTCAGGGTGCAGCTAAGGTAAAGCAGCAGGGTGCTGCTGTGTTTATCTGTAAACACGCCAGCCTTTAGTTGTCATCTGGTTTTATCTCTAACCTTATCCATGGAAAGCGCTCTTGTTTATTGTTATGGCTATTGAATGTTTACTTGTACTGTTATCCTTAAACTGTGACGTCAGGTCACTGTAGTTTTGACTTGTTTTTGTATCTTATATTTGTTTAACCATCTTTTTCTTCAGGAATATTAACATTTTAATCACCTGGTGATGCAACCATATTGAAGAGAGAGTCAGACAGAGCAAGAGACTCAAGCAGTCAGAAGATCATACAAGTTTTAAGCAAACCCTAAGGCAAGCAGAGGTTAGTCAAACATATGAGGAAGAAAAGAAAAGAAAGGCAAAAAGCAAATTTCCTAGTTTGACTTTGGTTTAAGGAACTTTCTGTGATTGGGATTATCATTGTGTATCTAAATAGAAACTACAGAGTGCAGACCTGCGCCAAGGCCTTTTTTGTAAGTTAAATAATAAAAGGGAATTTTGAGATTCACTGAGCAATTGAGATCAGCTCCAAAAAACAATGAGTTCATCTTTGGCCCATTGTACATCCTTTCTCCAACTATCAGACGTGTTTCTTCTGTATTCCTGCTGACAAACCCAAATATTCTTACAAAAATATTTATTTTAGGATGCTAATAAGTTAAACTTTTGGTAAAGTGTACCAAGATATAGTTGATTGGCGCTTATTTAATTTATATATATATATATATATATATTATTGACACTTACGCTTTTTAATAATTCAAAGCAATTTAAACTGGAGAGTTTTAATTTTACATTTCTCTTAAACAACACATCCGAGTGAATGACCTCATGAGATTGGTTAGACAAATATATTCATAAATATTCCTCTATGTGCATATTTGTAATAATTACAAAAGATGTACAGTTAAGTTGAATACATCATTTGGCTCCTAAAACTGTGTGTGTTTTTGTTTGTATTGTTTGATCTACAGATTGTTAAGCATACAACAGTCTGAAAGTCCCCTGGGGCAAATATGTGGTTTATAATATTGGGTTATATAAATAATATTGACTTGGCTAGAATGAACAGAGCTAAATATAATTCCTAGCAACCAAGTTACACGTTGCTTGAGTCTTTACTACCTAAGGTATAACATACGTTTTAAAGGTGCAACCTAATGGAGTTCATCACAAATATGACACCATATTTTGTTAAAAATGTAGGGAGGACTTCGTACACACAGTGATGGATTTACAGATAGGTGTTGCAACCTAATCCAGAATTGCTTAACCATCAAAAGCTGACTGATGATTGTTGGAAACTAAACATACCATTAATTGCTCTGTGCGTTTAATGAGATAAATCTTACATCTCATGATCTATAGTGACGGAAAACAAGTCTTTACTCATATACTGTATGTGGCCATGTCTGAACTCTTCTGATCGTGTAAAGCTTGAGTGTCTGAAGTCTTCTGATCGTGTAAAGCTTGAGTGTCTGAAGTCTTCTGATCGTGTAAAGCTTGAGTGTCTGAACTCTTCTGATCGTGTAAAGCTTTGGTGTAAACCTCAAACACTAACAATGTATTGTCTTCGGACTCTGGCTGCCCTCTCGCATGTATAGCTCCTGTAGGTGATTAAGTTCACAGGACATATTTCACAACCTGTCCTGTTTGTGAGGACAGGGGTGGCTGGACTGGAGAAGGGAAGGAAACGCAGCATTCTTTCTAGGAGCCGGGCCTTTTGGACGGGAACAATCACCGTGGAAGAAAAACAAGTCTGAAAATAGCCTCAGACTGCTCTGACACCGTGAAAGTATACAATTCTTTCACCATAGGCAGTTTTATGCTCATATTCGGACACAAAAAGCCGACATGGACTCATGAAAGTGGAGTTTACCTTTCACTGTTAAAGGCTGATTATGTTTTCATTGTAAATTCTTCAAGCGGTACTTGCAAAACATTCTTGATTTCTGCGATAAACATATATTTCTTAATTTTGTAAAGCGCTAAAGGACCCATTTAGGAACATATAGCCTATCTGGCACTTAACCCCCTGTGAAACCACAACCTGTCGTTTTAGACTGGTTTGTTAGGCAGATTAAAGAAACAAGATAACACTTGTTTCTAGGTGAGGTTTAATTGGTTGACAGAATTTGTTACCCTTACTTAATCTAACTTTTAGCAAAATTGTAAATAAGTGTACCTGTTTTCTCATCACATTTATCAACCTAAATATAACAAAAATGGCTGCTTCTATGACAGCTTCTCAAAAGGGAGAATTTGCTGGATGCTGGTCTGTGATCTAGGGTTACCGTGTAGACTAAAAGATTAAGTTAATATTAGGGCTGTTCGATTATGGCAAAAATTATAATCTCGATTATTTGGGTCAATAATTGTAATTGCGATTATTAGATGCGATTATTCATTGACTTTGAAAACATCTATTTATTGGAGAAAAAGAATGTGAACAGTATGTTTTTAACAGTTGATTACCCTGAACTTTAAGTATAATTCAACTGAAAAAAATTATATAAAAAAGAAAAGTAATAATAAAAGAATAATCGTTTTATTTCGATTACGTTGTTTTCGTAATCGTTGCAAGCCATCATCGTAATCGCGATTTAAAATACGATTAATTGAGCAGCCCTAGTTAATATTCATGTAAGTAAATTCACTCCTCAAAAAAGCTTTAAATATGAGAAAAGATACAGTTGAATATTTTAGAATTTCATCCAAATTTCAGATCTTATTATTTTTTATTTGTGTTTGTTTACTTGAAAAAATACCCTAATCCACCTGCCTCCACATGTTTTTGTTTTACCTAAAATGGCCCTTATAAATTGGCAGACCAATATGGTAAAAAAGATATCAAGCAACAAGAGCTTCAGATGGATCAGAACCCATTAAAAGTACACGATGCTTATACCTCAAGCGGAGGCATTTAAGTCATCTCAAAAAGGCCTGATTGTTGTCTCTAAAAAAAACTGTATTGTGTCTGAAAACCACAATTAGCAGTATTTCCAAATTCAAATGCCTCTTTAATCTCCCAGCTTCCATCTCTGGAGTATGAATGGAGGAATTTGGTCCAATAAGAGCTCTATTGTTCTGCCAGGCGTGGAGCTGTAGGTAAAGCTCCCCCACACAGCAAGCCTCAGTGAGCTGCTTGGCTTACCTGCTTTTTGGCCGGAGAGATTACTGGGCACTGAACTGCTTTGGATCTTAAGGCCCGGAGGTTAACACTGAAAAGAACGGTGAATAGGAAGGCCTGTGTCTGTGCACACATGCATGTACACAACTGCATTTTAGAGACTGTTCATGCACAGATGCATCTACACACTGATACACTCAATCTGTTTTGGCTTCTCTGGATTTTGTTACTGCAAAGCTCGAAATACAGCAAATCTGATACAGTTTACAACACATAGGAAACAAGAAGCAGAGCGAGAAGAGAGACAGAAAGAGACCCCGGGTGTTGAAATATCTAAGCATATCTTTCTTGATAATTACCTCCTAGAAACTGCATTCTTGCCCTCTGGCATGTTCATGTTGAGGAGAGGTGAGATGAGGATTACATTTTCCGCTTATCAGCAACAGTGCCTGTCTCCTAATGAAATACCATGGTGTACAAAGTGCTTACAAATCCATCAAATGTCACATAGCTTTGGATATGAAAAGAAAACTTGAGTGAGATCAGGAGTAACTTCAGGAGTGTGTGTTAGATGAAATGTGGAGCTTGGGAAGCATGTAGCAACTAACAGATTGTGCGTGTTCCTGTTTGGTTTGAGAGATGACGGCTTTCATGTCCAGCTAGTGGTTTGCTTGTTGTAGTTGCTGTCACATCCTGTGTGTTGTTTGAATTGACCACTTTATATATAAATATATATATATATATATCCTTTATTTAACCAGGTAAAAGACTCATTGAGATTAAAATCTTTTTTCCAAGAGTGACCTGGCCAAGAAGGGCAGCATGTACAAAGTTACAACAGATAAAACACAGACATGACAGGCAGACAAATACAGCTGTAAAACACAAATAAAATGGCACATTAGCCAGTCAATATGCAAAGTAAAACAAACTATTAAAAATCATTCAAAACTGGCAAAATTTTAAAACGATTTTAGGATATACAAGCACTCACATCTACCAATGGTGTCGTGTTCTCTGTCCTTTAAGATGGACATGAATTCCCCCATAGTGATTCAATCTGAGAGTTTCAGCTCCTTCTGTACATTGTTCCAAGCTGCGGGGGCAGCATATTTAAAAGCTATTTTTCCCAGTTTTGTTCTCACTGTAGGAACCAGCATCTGAATAAAATCTTTGGAGCGCAGGCCATATAGACTTTCTCTTTGACACATATATGTGCAAATCTAGGAGGGAACCAACTCAAGCAGAGATTTATAAATGGCCAATTGGCAGCAGCATATAAAGTGCAATGGTGTACTCGATATCCACATCCAGTAATAAATCGTAAGGCACAATGGTACACAGTATCCAAGCTCTTTAGGCACTGGTTAGAGGCATTCATGTATAGCAGGTCACCATAATCTAATACAGGTAAAAACGTTGCAGATATCAAATGTTTCCTTGTCTGAAAAGAGAAACAGGATTTATTTCTGTAAAAGAAACCTAATTTTATTTTTAGCTTTGAAACAACATTTTCCGTGTGTAACTTCAAAGACAAGTTCTGTTCAATAAGAAATCCCAGATATTTGTAAGTAGTTTCTCAATAGGTAATAATATAGAGACAATAGAAACAATTGAGAGGTCCCAAGGTCAGGTGCTTCCATCAAATATTGTTCTGAGTTGTGAGAATGTTTTGACTACGGTAAAGCGAAGACAGGCACGGATAAGAGTAGGGGTAAACGTTATGGCCTTGACAGTTGACATTGGGAATTCTTCCCAAGCACACGAGCCAATTTTTTCCCCCATAATCGCTGAGGAGGGCGGTATCTGTGCTCGGTGGAAAGCAGCAAGGGCAGCAAGGAATTCTGATGTGACGGGGGAGACCGGGGGAGTTTCAGAGGGAGTGGAGGGTCTCCCACTGGAATGTGCCGTTCGTTTCTGCCAAGTCAATGCCATTCAAGCTCCCTGTATTTATTAAGGTTTTTGTACAACAACAATAAGAAGGTTGCATGATGAAAGATGCGTGGATGATTTAGATTTGACAGAAAAAAACATGTATTAGCTCAGAGTCAATGAAGTGCATTTGAAAATAACTCATATTCATCAAACTGAAAATAAGGCCGCTTTTCAACATTTCTGAGAAATTGACTTCAGCCTCTTTGGAAAGTAAATCAGCCACACACAGGGAGCAGAGATAAAAAGTTAACATGCAACAGATGCGGGTAATCTTTACAGCTCTGTAATTCAAAATCAAATGCGTCTGCCGGTTTCTGTCAGGAGGCCAAGGTGAAGAAGATCATGTCCAAGAAAGAGAGGAAGGAGAAGAAGATTTCCTCCAAAGACGACGAGCACTTCTTGTTGACAGGAGTTCAACTTGCCGACCGCAGAGGGTGAGTTTACACACACATTAACATGTCACCCCATGTGTCCACAGTGTATTGACATGTATTCATCACAAGGTAATGCATGCATGTATGTAGGAATTTAATCAGTGTGTTGTGATATATACAGTATATATATTACATTTCAACTATAAGGGGGAAATACAGTATGAATCAAACTAATCAACTCCAATCAACCCATTTTTTATATTTGTATGTTTGAATGTGAGAAATAATTTTCTTCGCCAGCAGATATGAACTTTCAGACCACTTGAGGAAGTAGAAGTACATGAAGAGGAAAACCTTAATTAACCAGCCGATGTGACAAACAACCGGGAATTCCTTTATAATGGCTCGCTGGGGAAAGTTCCATTCTCCAGTGTAACGATGTAGTACCCCACCCAGTTGGTCCTATTCATACTATAGATGAGATTCAAGTGAGAAAATTATCCGGAGATCAATATTTTAAGTCTTATCTAAAATGTTTTCTCCTGTGTTTTTTTTGCCAGGATAACCTTTGAGGTTGCTTTGATATTTTTTTACAAGTTGTAAATTATCTTCAAACACAAACATTTTATCCACATATTCTAAAGTTATTCAGCATAAATACTTGTTCATACCTGAAAAGTGGTGATATAAATAAAGATGCCTCTCTGCCAGCTTCACTTTGTGGCCATCAGCTACTTCCACTGACCCCCGCAGGCATGACTAATCAATCACAAGCATCAAAAAGGATTAACAAGTAAATAAAGACTAATAACTCTGGCAGGTAGACATATACTTTTAAAAGTTTTAAACCCTGTAATCAAACATCGTTGTAACTATATTCCTTTGTATTGCCTATTCAATTTTTATAAATATATCAACACATTTGAAACAATACACAAACATTTTTTTTCCCTAAAGGATCTTGACAAAAAAAAAGTGAACTTCGGAAGATTATCCTCGCATTTTTCTCCCACCTGGTGTTGAGTCACAAAAAAAGGAGACAAAACCAGAGATGTTTCATATTTGCCTCCCAGGGCTTCGAATGTTGTGCAACATCCTCTTTCTAACGTTATGCTCCTCTCTCTTTTTTTTTTCTTAAGGTCTCACAAGAAAAATAAGGAGGATGAGAAGGAGAAGGAAAAGAAGGACAAGCCAGAGAAGGGCAACTGTTTCTGGGAGAGCGTTACCATGACAATGAGGCAGATCTCTCCAACAAAAAAACTGGAGAAGATGGAGGGTTGGGAGCCGCCTCAGCTGGAGAACTTAAGTGAGACTGTGACCGATGACGTTCCAGAAGACAAGAGCCAGGAAGGGGACTCTCCGGTGCCCTTCCCCGACTCTCTGGGCCTCCCGTTGGAGCTGGCCTCCTGGGCGGGCCGGGGCCTCGAAGAAGACTCCTCCCGCTATGCTAATCTGTCGGACTCCAAGGATTCAACAGCTGCCGTCAGGTGGACAGACCGCGCCAAAGTCAAGCTGGCCGGCATCAGCAGGATGAGCAGAGGGATTGTGTCAGAAAGTGCTTGGGAGGGGTTTAAATAGGAGCCATATTATATTTGATACCCCTCCCTTCTCATCATCAAACCTGAACCAAATTCTTACTTGTCTCTGTAATCTAGTTCTGGACGAAACCGATGTCAACTGGTATTGAGATGTTGTTGTATAGCCATGAACACAACACATGAAGTTTGCTTATTTTTTAAGCTTTGACTTTCTTGAATACAAAATAGGTCACTTTTATCAATGGTGTCACTTTTGAATTACTGAAATAAAATACAACACATTAAAGCCTTAAACTACTGGACCATTTAACTGTGATATCCACTGGCCTTGCATTTACATATTTTATATCTCCAAAAATGTAGGAGATTGATTTTTGTATGATTATTGTGGCTGACATAGGTAGAGAATTAATGAAGAATATGCTAATCTGCTACTGAAGACTTTTTCACTTCCTTTCTGTCTTTGCAGTTACAGTATCTGTGTGAAGAGTGTAAGTCTTGAGCCTAAACATAAATATGGGCTTAAAATCTGTGCAATCATAAAACTGTATAAAATACTTTGAATCTGGAATATTGGTGTGAATGTGTGTTTGAAAGTAAGGAGGAACCAAGTTTATTAAGAGACATGCACACATCAAATTGTAGTAAACGAAAGTTGGCGTGGAAAAGGACATTTGAAGTTCTGTTATTTGTATCGTCTAGGAATAACTCAAAGACAATCCCAGTGTCATGTTTAAATCCAATGCTGAATATTATTTATAGAAATGTGTAAGGATGACCAGATTAAAGCCAAACTTTGTGTATGCTGGCTTCTTTAGAAAAGCAGTGAGTCCATGTACCTGGAAAGTGCCTTGTATCAATAGAATGACATCATGTGTTTGCTGTAAATTTGAACTGAACCATGAGCACAAAGCTGCTGAACTCATCACGATGTTTATGTATGTGCAGGTGGATCGACCCAGCATGCACTTGTGCTGCATCAGCCAGTAAGACACTAACTGGTTTCCATTTACAATCCCTGGCAACCAAAAGCTTGTATGTGTGTGCAATGTTAACATTGTAAAAACCTAGTGAGTTCTCTAATGCTGTTTTATATGTATATTTGATAGGACAGAAACAATGTCTTCATTTTTGTTATGATTTATTTTTAGGTGAGGTCACGCCACTGGTCTATGCTTTTTTTTCTTTTCCTCTTTGTTTCAATCTGTCTGCTGAATGTGTTTGATACTGAAGTCTACTTTGATGCAGCCAAAACTGTTCACAGATACAGGTCCACAGATGCCTGTATCCTCTATTTAGTCATTACAACTGGGTCAAACTTTCTCATCAGAATAAAGATCTAGTCTGAGTGTCTGGCTCTAATTTATCCAACAAATGAAAGTCTGGAGTAAATGTAACCCTTGATTGAACAGCTGGTTTTACTGATACAGTGGCCAAAACATAAACAATTGTCCCAATTGTCCAAGAACTTGGAGTTTCAGGCTCTGCACTTTCCCTCCTCACCTCATACCTCAAAGACCTCACCTACAGGGTAACTTGGAGAGGGTCCGAGTCCGACCCTTGTCAATTAACTACAGGGGTCCCTCAGGGCTCTGTTCTTGGTCCCCTCCTCTTCTCCTTGTACACAAACTCGCTCGGATCTGTCATTAGCCCGCATGGTTTTTCATACCACTGCTACGCTGACGACACCCAATTAATTCTGTCCTTTCCCCGCTCAGAGACCCAGGTCGTCGCACGCATCTCTGCTTGCCTAGCAGACATCTCTCGGGAGGATGTCTGTTCATCACCTCAAGCTCAACCTTGACAAGACTGAACTGCTTTTCCTTCCGGGAAAAGATTGTCCCACTCTTGACCTAACAATCAACATCGGCACCTCTCTTGTTTCCCCGACTCAGACTGCAAGGAATCTTTGTGTGACCCTAGATAACAAACTGTCCATCACTGCAAACATCGCTTCTACAACCCGCTGCTGCAGATACACGCTTTACAACATCAGGAGGACACGTCCCCAGCTGACCCAGAAAGCGACGCAGGTTCTGGCCCAGGCTTTCGTCATCTGACGCCTAGACTACTGCAACTCCCTCCTGGCTGGTCTACCTGCATGTTCCATCCGACCTCTGCAGCTCATCCAGAATGCAGTGGCTCGTCTGGTCTTCAACCTTCCTAAATTCTCCCACACCACGCCGCTCCTCCGCTCCTTTCACTGGCTTCCGGTAACTGCTAGAATCCACTTCAAGACACTGGTACTTGCGTACAGTGTTGGGCTGGT